GTCGGGCCTGGCAGCTCCGGGCGCCCGCTGCCGCATGCTTCCCGCTGACGAGAGGCGGGGTGCTCGGCCGGGGTCTGGCTGACAGGGTCGCTCTCTACATGGCGTGACTTCCCCCCCTTTGTCAGGGAGCACGGAGGGGGCGCAGCCAGTTGGCTTGCTTTCAAGTTCACCTTATTTCGGTTTCTTCTTTGGCTTAGTGCTATAGCTTGCTTGTGTATTTGTTAACGACTGGATGCTTGCAGGTGAACGGGAAGCTTTTGCTTATAGTTGTAAGATGTTGGCACGATCAGAGAGTATTGTCTGTCCTCCCTGTAGCATTACTGCTGGAGGTGTAATGGATGTTAACACCGCCCTGCAAGAAGTGCTGAAGACCGCACTTATCCATGATGGCCTAGCTCGTGGTATTCGTGAAGCAGCCAAAGCTTTGGACAAGTAAGTTCTGTTTTCTCATTTTGTTTGGTGAATAGCAAAACTGGGTGAGGTATGTTGTGATATGTTGAACACATGCAGTGGTCACTTTGTCTAGCTGTTTAATTGAAAGCCTTTGGAAGACCATGTTTTTCTGCCAGTGAGTTTTGTATTTTACTATCTCTGTTTTGGATTCTTTTAACTGTGGTCTTAAAATACACATGCTAAACTTGGTGATTCAGGAATAGCAGCATATAGTGTATGAGGTTTTGTCTTTCTGTGATCTCGGTGCCATTGTGTTTTCGTGTGAATTGGTTTTGTGAAGAAAATAGAATGGCAATTTTGGTATGTAGCTATGGAAATCTCGGTCTCAGTAACCTTGTGTTTTATGAAGTGATAAACTGTTCTCAAAACTTTCTAAGATTTTTATTGGAAGGGTTAATGTTATATCAGACTTAACCTTGAAGAGTTGATTTAGTTTTTATGAAAAATACCTGGAACTCATAGCTTGCCTTTTTTACTAGCTTCATTTTTTTTTGTTGCAGCTGTAAATAATTGCTTTGATACAATATTAAAGTTGTCATATGTGCCAACTCTGGTAATTAGTTATGTTTTCTTGGTAGGGTGAAGTATTGTATGTATATGTGTGTATATACACATACGTAACACACCTCTGTGTGTGTCTATATGTAGGTACATGCTTTTTATATAGGCACATGCTTTTAAGAAGAGACAGGGTTTTAAGTTCAGTGCTACAGTGTTTGGGTGATGACTTCAGTTTGTCGGATACCCCTTCACTCATTGTATGAGTGAGAACAGCAGTCTGACAAACCTGTATGCAAAAACAGAGCTCTAAGACAAGGTACCACATGATAGAAGAGAAATACAACTTGGGTGACTGACAGGTAGCTTGTAAGACTTCTTTTGAGTTCAGCTACAACTTAACATGCTTTGTGCTAAGATGATGTATGCACAAGGTTTATATATGTTCGTGTGTGATGGTTCTTGCTTGGAAATGTTGTCTCTGAAACGTTCTGGTGAAACTTGTGGTGAAGGTGGCTATAAAAGAAAACTGACTTTGTTTGCAGTGGCCACATTATATTAGATTAAGCATAGAAGACCTATACAGCTCTCTCTGTTGTCAGGTATCCCCTTGGTATTAACATTGTACCACAGTATACAAAGATCCTAATTAGAATTGGGGCCCTGTCATAACAGCTTCTTTGAACGTAAGTAGAAAAGATTATTCTGAGGAGCTTATAACAACTTGACATGGAAATTCAAGTTTTTAATTACAATTCTAAAATTAAATTACTGTAATCTGAGGTAAGCAAGAAGAAAAAACTTATAACTTGGTTGCTATCAAGTAGTGGCACCAATTCTTCATGGGACTTGGTGTTTATCCAGTCATTACGCCTTTTTCCAATGGCTGAGAATTTTTTGTGAGTGGAAGTTTTAGAAGCTTCCAAAACTGCAATAGAACCTGATAATAAATATAACAACATATCAGTATGTTACGTATATGAAAAACATAAATAGTAGTAGATAAAAGCAAAGGTATATTTAGTATTTCAAAAGTGTATGGTATCTCAAAACCAAAAATGAAAAATTGGGAAGTGGTTGTCTAGAAATGCACGTGCTGAATTTTGTTCTTTGTGTTTTGATTGTAAAGAAGGTTAAAGCAGTTCTGAAGTACATTTGTCAGTTTTCATGTTTTTTAGACGTCAAGCCCATCTTTGTGTTCTGGCTTCAAACTGTGATGAACCCACATATGTAAAATTAGTTGAAGCACTTTGTGCAGAACATCAGATCAACTTAATAAAGGTGAGTGTCAGAACTTCAGACACAAGCTTGGAACGGTTGTCCAGCTTGCAATGTAAGCTGCTAGTTTCAGCATATAGAGAGCTGAACCTTTGAAACACTATCCTATAAGTCTGTATATGGCTTATCTAAGCAAAATTTCTCTTGGCAGTGGAGATTGTTGTAGTTCTGTATAATTGTCATAGAAACAATACAGAAATTGGATGCAAATGGTGAACGATACGTGTATCGGGTGTAAGTTTGTCCTGTATAAGAATTAATGGTGCAAGTGGTTGTGGAGCACGGGAGGAGTCTCAGCATGGCTTTTTCTTCAAATTAAAATACAAGCTGTACAATGATGATACTTTGGCTCCCTCTACTGATACTTGTGAGGAAAGCAGCCATCCGTTACCCAATACTTCTGAGAGTACAGCAGCTTTTTTGCTGAACCTAGTTAGGATAGAAATGGCTTGTTCTAACGTGATGCAATGTTTTATGCAGGTTGATGACAACAAGAAACTGGGTGAATGGGTAGGTCTCTGCAAGATCGACAGAGAAGGAAAACCTCGCAAAGTAGTGGGCTGCAGTTGTGTGGTTGTCAAAGTAAGATGATGCTAATTACAGCTTATTTCTTGGCTTCTGAAAATAAGCAGTAAAGATAAGGTTGCTTTACATAAGGGACTATTAAGTAGAGCTCTTAGATATTTTTAAGCAGCTGCTTTCCATTGTTCATAGTGAAAATAAACTGTTTCCCTGTTCTGTATTCCCTTTCATGTTTGTTTAAAATACTTGTATTTATTTTGTGAGTTAATGGTTGTGTCCTTAAAAGTATTTATGCCCTCTTGCCAGTAAGCATCAAAGGAAAGACCTTTTAACTACAGAAGAGATGAAGTTTTGCTGAAAAAAACCCAAAAAAGAACCAGTTCAATGTGTCTGCTCAACCTGAAAATGTTTTGCAGAGCATATTTTTAAATTAGACTGGTAAAGTACAGCCACAGTACGAGCCTTGAAGACTTTGTAGTCTTTGAGGTCCCAAGAGTTGGCTACATCTTCACAATAAAGACTAATGCCTTCTGCATGTGTTTTCATGGTTTTGCTACTTTCACATATTTTACTTGGCTTTCCTTAAGCAGAAATTAAGAATTTGTTTGGATTCATACCAATGGGTGTTACACTTTAATGAAATAGTCATTTATCAAAACAGTCTTTTATTAGAGGGAAAGAAGCTGGCAGATTGCTTGAGATTATTGGTATGAAATTTTGGGAATGCCTTAAGAAAAAATGTCAGAATATCACTTGTGCTTTTAAAAATAGCTTGTGAAGCTTTGCATGGGCCTGTATGTTGTTAATGGGTTATCTTGTGTTACAGGACTACGGCAAGGAGTCTCAGGCCAAAGATGTCATCGAAGAGTACTTCAAGTGCAAGAAATGAATGGAAAATAAAATTTGAACCTGTCTTGTGTGTGTGATTAATGGGTGGGTGTTGGTGGAATAGTTTTGAGTTGCAAAGGATAACATCAGAAGATAAAAAGACTTTATGGGTCTTGGTGTAGTTTATTAGTGTGTTAAAACTGTCAGCTTGCTAAAAAGATAATGGCAGTCCCAGCCATTGCTGTTCTAGGGTGCTTCTGCTTCCTGTTCCTACCCCAGAGGTTATCAACTTGGGGAACTTTTCACAGCTGCTCAGTTGCAAAAATGCTGACAGTTGATGACTTATCTTTGCTTGGCAGTGCTTAGGCCTGTACTTCTGCAGGGATTCTGACTAACTTGTTAGGGAGCCTGAAGTACTGCTGCATCTGTGATGAAATTTGGTTCCCTCTGCTGGAATAAATGAGGAAAATGGCCTCTGAGATGTTGAAGGGGTCTTAAATGCTGTCTTCATTTATTCAGAGAACTTATTTCACACAATGTGTTTTGCCGTCCCCTGAACATTTCCACCCTCCACCCCCCAAATTGTGGGTGGAATTGGCTTCTTACAAGAACTATCGTCATGTACTTCTAGATCTTATTCTGTGGGAGTTCTCAGTTCAAGGGTAGCCAGGTAGTTGAGATCTCAAAGGTGGCAGTGTTGAACTCTGACTTAGAGTGTCTTGGTGTTTCCGTAATAGTTGGATGACGTACAGAAGTTGCGCTTTTGTCATGCTTTTTCGAGGCAAAGTGGGTTTCACACTGGAATTTAAGATTACTTTTCTCCTGCAAGTTGTATTATATTTTCTGCAGAGCAGCTCTAAGTGGAATTGTAAGGAATGTTGTTCCATTATGCTGATAAGTAGGAAACGAATGTGAATAGGTGGGACTGAGCACCTGTAAACTGGGGATGGAAATATGTATCTGTATATTTGTCAGGCTCTTGAGCTTGAATTTTCATTATCGTTTGTAAACCCCTTTTTTGACATTGCCATTCATTGATGGTAGTGTAGAGACGGGCATCTCCAGATGCTGGGCTGAGGTACACTTCCTCACAGCTGTCTAAAGCACTTGAAATGTTGTTTGGGTTTAGCCCTGTTGCAGCTTTTGAATAGGTAGATTGGGGTGACTTTGATTTTTTTGAGAGGTTCCTATAGTAACATTTTCAGGTGTACTTAATGATGGGAGCTACCTGTTCCAAGTCTGGTTAAAACCAAGAAATTTATCCTTGTGCTGAACTTTATATGTTCAGTCTTTGAAAGGCAGTGAAGGAGTTATAGCTTTTAACATTTCAGTTAGTGTGAAGCCAGTATTGCAAATAAAGGGAAGTTTACAAATGAGTGAATGTTGCCATTTTCCATTTGAATATAGTTGAAATGATAGAAGTTCATTCCTGTAGACAAGAGACTTAGTTGCAGATCTTATTTAATCACATTACCAGAGGTTTCTAAACACTCAGAATAGGAGTAATTTGTAAGAATATTCCTTTTTAAATGGAGTTGAAAAATGCCAACTATTTGTCTAACTTTGAGTATGACTTGTATACAGAAGCACACCAAAGCACACATAACATCTTTTGTCCTGCCTTGAAGCTGCATCTTCCAAGAGTGTTGATTGAAATAGTTAGGCTATTTGTTCTTCATATTTTTATAATGTTTGTAGCTACATTATAGAGAAAGAATTGTCTGAAATGGTGGTGTTGGCAGCCTAAGAGGATTTATGGTTTGCTTTTCCTTGGATGGCTGCTCTATCAGTTAAATTCACAAAGGGAATTGGGATCCAAAATTAGCTCAGTACCAGGGTTCAATGCCTGTGTGTTGCTGAGGTTGAAAATTGTTTCTTAATTGAATGTGCTTCTGTACCAGAATGTTTTTTACCTGGGTAGGAGTAGTAAGTTCCTCTTGATTCCTTACATCCTTGGATGCAGGGTGAAAATGTGCAGTCCAGTAAGCACCTCCAGGGTAGCAGGTGAAGATTTTTTTAAAAGAAATCTGTAGATGTAAATTACCAAATTGGGGAAAGTCTATTCTAAGCCTGTGCAAGCAAATTGAGCTTTTCCAGATTTTTGGCTAAAATACGACTTCTTATTTTTCGATTACATTGTAACACAAAAAGACCCAGGACAATAGAGAAAAGTATGGTCCCTAATTAAGATACACTTCACAACTATTGTGGGAATTCAGGCAAGTAAATCATGTCTACATGCTTATTTTCTGCATGTGTATGAGTATGGGAGGTTAACCTGCATAAGGTTTTAGGGCTATTGGGTAAAATTTTGGTTGCTTTAACATGGGCAAACAATAGACATTAGATTTTTTTTTTTTAAATTGGATTTGCTGTTCTAAATGTTCTAAATGAAACTTAGCTTGAGGTCAACTCAACATGGAAAACCTCTGCTAGTAAAACTTAATTTCTCATAAATTTATTAATGGTATCCTGTGAAGCACTAATACCAATGTGTACTAAAGTTTGAGGGGACTATTTTATGATTTCCTATTAGGAGGAAAAAATAGGAAGGATATTGGTGGGAGAAGGAAGAAATGTTGGTGTCCAGGTGAATTGTAACATACGGTCTTGAAATGAAAATGAAGTTGATAACCTGTAGCTTTATTAAAATTCTGAAGAAGTTGTCTGGCTCTTACCACTTTACCTGAATAGAGGATGTGGAAGGCTGTTCACCTTGTGTTTTGAATTTAATATCTGAATTTGTTGCCCTTCACAAATATTGAGGGAAGTGTAAAGAAAGTTGATTCAAAACAACATGACACATTGTGGTATCATTGCATTTCCAGTCCAACTAAAACATTGTAGAGAACCAGGCAATGCTGGGTAAAGAAAAATGTTCTGTGATCACTCAACCTACACAAAGGTCATGGTAAGATTGTATTTGTTGGGCTAGGCTCCAATAGTACAACCATAGTTTCAGGCTTGTGTTAAAGGTGAGATGCCTGTTTTCATGGATTTGAAGTTAGTATACTGCTTTTTACTTCTGAGATGAGCAGTGAAATTCCTTCTAACAGGTTTTTTAGTTTGGGGTTTTTTTTAAAGCCCTATAAGGGGAAACATGTGCATTGAATCTGTAGTTGTATAAGACTTGAGAATTGTTAACACATTGTGAACTTACATGTCTAGTCAAACTATTAATCTTAATTGTAATGTAAATAGGTCCTTAAAGAGTTTTACATATTTTAAACATGCAAGCAATTGAGAAGTCCAGCACACTCCAGCTATCAACTCCACAGAATATTCTACTTCATTTAGCACATTTTAAATTTGAGTGGGAGAAAAATAACATATTCATTATCAAAATGGTTTGTGTTTCATGGTATGTTGGAACTGCTACTTCAGCTTTAGCTGGGTTATAGGTTTCCTTTTAATTACTATCCAGTATGATCATGTGACTTGCAAAAAAAGGGGTTCAAGTAGTCCATGAGCAAGTTTTTTAGGCAATGTTTCTTTTGCAACAATGGAATAATACAAGTTCAGGGCTGTGGGTTTTTTACATCACCTTATTTTACGTGGCAATGAATATTAATACTAGGGAATGACAATTCTTCATGCTAAGGTTGGAATAGAACCAACATTTCCTAAATGTTTTTGCTGGAAGGAATTGGGTTGAGATTTTCATTTTCTGATCAAAATGCTTAGATATCAAATTAGGGTTTTTCCTGTAATGTTTCCTTTCCTGGAAGTGACCTTAGAACCTTTGCAGGGTCAGTGTTGGAGAACTGGTTAAGACTCAGTTTACTTCATACTTATGACTATCCCTAGTGTTGACTTTATTTTCAAAAATCTCCTAAGAACTAAATTCCACCCAAACATTCTGGTTCACCATCTTTTGTGGAAGTTAATTTGTGTTTTACTCAAATTGGCTGAGGAAGACAAGTGATTGCTAGTCCTTCTTCATACTGGTAGACTTTGCATATGCTTTGAGACCTCTGTAGACTAGAGACTGAGTTTCTTCACGTGTGGTAGATGGTATTTTTGTTTTGCCGTAGATGAACTGTGTCCTCTGTTGTGGAAGAGGGCAAAGAGAAGCTCCAGGAGCATGCAGACCACACCAGACAAGATGTGAGCAGCATGTGGCAGTAATGGCATAAGATTGTGAGACTATAATAGCTCAGGAATACATATAGAGGCTGTTAATATGTTTTGGAGGGCTTTAAGCACTTTGTTTAGCCACTTAAAAGTAGTTCAGGATAAAGCAGAACTTACAGCTTGCTTAATGTAGACTTATTCTGTGATTGGAGGAATAAGAATATTTGTAAAGCTCCAGAACCATTTTGAGCCAGGAAAAGGAGATATAGTGACCACTAGCCTAAAAAACAGGAACAAGAAAAAATCTGCCTAGAAGTAAGAAAAAGGGTGCAGTGAGGCAGAAGACAACCCAGGACCCAAATATTACTACTGGACCAGACTATGGTGTGAGGGATGGGAACTTAGATTGTAAGGGTATAATTGACCAGGGATTTTAGTATTTGGAGTCCCTCTCCAGAGGGACCTAGATTGAGCTGTCTGAATTTGTCACTATAGTATAAATTATACTTTTTATTTTGAAGGCCCTGTTTTGGAGATTCTGCTTTGGAGAACTTAGGGTCGAGTGAGGGAAGTAGTGTCTGAGGGTGAGCATGTGTGTGTGTGAGGAGTTGAAAGGGGCACTCACTGGCTCCCCGGAGTTGCCCATCATGAAGGGACCCGGGTCTTCGCAGTAAAATTCTTGGGTGGTGTGTGTGTGTGTGTGGCTCAGCTGGTGTGAGAATGCTTCTCCCTTAACACCTGCAGTACTTCAGATAAGGTTTCAGAGGACTAGATTTTGGATTACTCTTTAAATTACAGTCATCTGCAGTTATCACCCTAAAGGTACCTGTGGGTAGACAGCATTAAACATTGAACTGGGAATTAGAGACTTTGGATTTAGAGTTCCAGGACTGGCCCTGACTTTTCCACTGTTGCTGATCATACTTGATATCCACTGCAGGTTTTCCTTGTTGTGAAATGATAATGCAGAGTGGTTTGCTCCATGATGCACGTTTTGTGGCTTTTAGCTGGCA